TTTTATTGTGTGTCAGATGATATTCTGCATAGAGAGCCAGCTGGGTATTGATGAAACCAGCCATAGGCTAACCAGATCTGTGAACAGTCTGTCTGAATCACTGTGAATGGGGAACTTGTGTAAACAGTTTTTTATTGTTTTGTTTGACACTAACTGGAAGACACATTATACAGTTTTTGGTTACATATGTGTTCTCGTTATTCATTTTTTAAAACTAACACAATTTAGCTTGTTCAAGTAATACCAAAATTATGAATAATAATAATACACCTTACAGTATTAATAACATGTTTGTGCTTATTGTAATAGGGGTGACATTAAAACAAATTGGTGTTAGAATTTTAAATTTTTTCTAACACTGATTCAATGCTGTATGGTTAGCATGGTTAAAGATAACACAGTTTTTTTATGTTTAATATATCTTACTTAGTTTCAGTTATTTGGTGGTTAAGCTTCCCAAAAATATCTGATAGATTTCCCACATTTTGCAGAGGGTTGAGTACATTATATTAAAGTGATTTTAAGTGTTCAACTCAGTGAGTCATGTAATAACCACAGGCAATATTAATTTATAGTGGAACAAAAAATATCAGAACTACATTTTAACATTATTTGGCATTCTGTAGATAGTGTGATGCCACTAAAAATGTATTGCTTTTGGGAAGAGTATGTAACCACAATTTCCAGTGTAAGATATTCATGCACTCAAATCAGAAAGATGTTTTCAGATCTGAGACTTAAAACTTCCAAGATGGGAATATTCCTTATACTTAACGCCATTGAAAAACAAAGGAGTATGGATCAACTCGGGGTACCAGGACCATCCAGAAAGAGATCTGGAACAAGTTATATCCCAACTGTGGTAAGCAAAGTATAGTGTGAGAATCCTTGATCACAAAGGACAGTGGCAAAAGCTGTCTACATGTCCCAGGCAATAGAAGGCAACATAATATACAAAGATATCCACATGGAAAAACAACACAACTCATGTGTACAAGCTGCTTCCATGATATATCTGTTTAGTCATCGCATACCTCAAGCAGCTGGTTAAGGAAGCTGGTATTCATGATATTCCATATAGTCACATATCAAATGCTTGCCTTTTGGTTTCTATAAGATTGATCTGTTGAAACAGGTGCTGGGAAACTGTTGCCCTTTTACACTAGGTGACTTATGGAAAGCACAGGGAGGAAAGGTTTGCTTTGGACATGACAGCCTTACAATGGAGCTTTTTGAAATGGAAACTATGCTGCAGGATTATTTGTGAGATTTACAGTGTTCTCTGATAGAGCATAACTGGTGGTGACATGGACTGTAATAACTATAAGGCTGTAAAATAATTTTAATGTAACACACTCAACCTCTGTATAGCAATAAGGCAAAAGTGTATACAAAATATCATTATTCGATGACAAGGAACCCACTTTGAGACTAATAATGGCTGGAGACGGCTTAAATGGGTAATGAAGAAATACTTTAATATA